TACAATCTTGATTGATTCTGGATTTCATTGTCATTGTCATTGGAAAAAATATTCACTGTTATTTTATTTTTATATCTGAGTGTTAGGAATTCCAAAATGCATATCATATCCCTTTATGCTAACATTTTGTTAGCTGGAAAAAATATGTTAGGTTTTAATAATGCTCCTAAGTGAGGTTTATGACTTTTAAATACAACTTTTCTAAAAGAAGACATTCATCTTTTATGCAAGATGTGACTTTAAGGAACTGGCCTTATATAATTCTCTTTGTTCATAAAAGCACCAGACTTTACATAGGAAATGCATGTCATCTCCTCTAAGCAGTCACCTTGGGACACCTCAGACAAACCTTGATGAGGTTTGCCTTTGTTCAGAACAATCTTAGGACCTCTCTTTTGGACTTGATTTTACTCTGATCCTTTTTAAAAAAACAAACGTCTTTAAAGATGGCCTAGCATTGCCCTTTAAAGTCAGGTAAAGGTAAGCTAGAGTAGGAGATGGGGTCCCAGGTGCACCAGGTTAAAAACACAAAAACAGTGAATGTGACAGGACTGCACGCGTGCTCAGTTGCTTCAGTCATTTATGACTCTCTGCGACCCTATGGACTGTAGTCCACCAGGCTCCTCTGTCCATGGGATTCTCCAGCCAGGAAAAATGGAATGAGTTGCCATACCCTCCTCCAACAGATCTTCCCAACCCAGGGATCGAACCGATGTCTCATGTGGCCCCTGCATTGCAGGCAGATTCTTTACCCACTGAGCACCTGGATTAGGGGGAATGCAATGTGACCCTAAATGAGTGACACTAAGGGCTTCCCGGGTAGCTCAAATGGTAAAGAATCCACCTGTAATGCAGGAGATCTGGGTTCAATCCCTGGGTCGGGAGGATGCCCTGGAGAAGGAAATGACTACCCACTCCAGTAGTCTTGCCTGGGGAATTCCATGGACAGAGGAGACTGGTGGGCTGCAGTCCATGGGGTTGCAGAGAGTCAGACACAACTGAGTGACTGCCACTTTCACTTTCAATGTGACACTAAATTAGGGGTGATACGTTAGATACTCAGCAACAGGTATGGCAGGGCACATGTCAATCAGAACAGATATCACTAAGCAAGGTACTGGAGGACTTTGACCAAGATCCAAATACTAACTCTTTAGTGGAGGGACTGGGAATCCTTCTAGAGGGTCCAATAGGGGAAACTGTAGTGGTGGGGATGAATGGGCACCTGGGGATTTCTGAACTGTGGCAATAACCAACCAACAAAGTAGATTTGGGGTATTTTAATGTCAGTTGAATATTAGTCCTTCCAAAAGCAGAGACCACTGCTGTTTTTGTGGACCTTGGGCCTTGCCCAAAAGTTGTTTGAAGGTGTTGAGAGAAACAGCAGCAATATTGGAACAAATGTATAGGATCTCAGGATAATGACTTGGAAGGGCATTGATTATATGAATATTTCTCTAAACTTATTAATAACAAGCACCATACTTTTTTTTTTTTTTTACTTTTTTCTCACTAGCCCCTAATACAATGCGTGAGATATAGTAGTTATTTAGTAAGTATTTGCTGAATGAATGACATATTTGTTAACGAAAAGTAACTTCTAAACAAGATCTCATCTTTAAGGTTTTTAAATGTTATTTTTTAGACCCATAAACTCTCTTTATTTTATTGGAAATAACTCTAAAAATCTCTTTGAAGAAAGAAATCCACCAATATTTATTCCTGACTCAAAACCTTTTGATAGCAACCTACTTCTTTCTTGAAAGCAATCCTTTACAATGATCTTTTAATTATTATCCACCTTGAAAAGTCATGGTAGCTGTCAATCTGTCTTTAAAACCCTGGGAGCTCCTATTATTTCTAGCCAAAAAGAATTTTCCTTTTAGGCCATAGGGCTTGAGCTCTCCTGGGCCTAGGGCTACTATACTATAGGCGGCTGGCCAATATTTATCAGGCAGTGGGGGTCTGGGCTTTGCTGGTGGCTCAGTCAGTAAAGAATCCATCTGCAATGTGGGATACGTGGGTTGGGAAGATCCCCGGAGGAAGGCATGGCAACCCACTCCAGTATTCTTGTCTGGAGAATCCCCATGGACAGAGGAGCCTGGTGGACTGCAGTCCATGAGGTCACAAAGAGTTGGACACGACTGAGCACCTAAGCACAGTGGGTATCTAGTGCTGTGCACTTAATACATCCATTCCCTCTCCTAACTGCCCCTTTTGTAGCTGAGGAAACTCAGTCCTAGAGTAGCTCTGAAATTTCCCCATATTTACACAGCTACAGTGGTGAAGGTACCAGTTGAATCCAAGTAACTTGATTTCAGAGCTGAGCACCCTTGACCTACACAGTATAATGAGTCAGTGCTGGCTCATCTTCAGCCAATCAGCAGGGTAGGAATTGAAGGATTTCTCATACCTGGAAAGTACCTCAGAGCTCCTATTACGCTGACATTTAGAAGCAAGGTTTCAGGAGGAAGATTTCATTACACATTCTCAAGTACCTACTGAACATATACATAGGCGGGCACTGTTCTAGGTTCCAGGAGGACCAGCAAGGGAACCACAGTCTCTTTCTGCTTGGTACAGGCAGCACTTTTAACTCAAGTTTCCTAGGGCTCTGTTTTCCTCTACTTTTAAAAAGGGAGAAAAAAAACTAAACCCCTGTATTGAGTTTCAATTCTGGATCCTAAGCAATCCTCCTCCTCGATGAATTGCAAAATAGACATACCTCTAGAAAGGAGGAGATCGACCACTTTCTTCTTTCTGGATCCCTCTAGGGGAGTGTTTGATCTCCTCTGACATCCTGTCCTTGTAAGGAACGCTCAGGGGCAGGAGGAGGCGGTGGGAGTTAGGACTGAAGCACACAGACAGTACGGAACACAGAAGATTTATCTATATCAACATTTCATTGACATGGCAGCATTTTCCTTGAGTGCAGGATTACCCTGCATAATGCTGATATCCAGATATCCAGGCTAATTGTTTGATGTATGAAATTTTTGTTTTAGGAGGCATTTTTAGTTATACAGTGGTCTTATATGCTATCATAATTAGGAACAATAGAAACATTAACTGAACTTTGTACCCTCCTTGGAAGATTAAGTTGTTTAAACGGAAGTTAAACAATAACCAACAAGAAGACTATCAAAGAACTGATGTTAGAGTAGTAAGCCATACTAAATGCCCCAAGCAAGCTAAGAGTTTAAGAAACACTAACTTTTCACTAAAAATTATCCTAAACGTGCTGAAAAGCTGATCTGTTATAAGGGAGTTAATAAATTCACCCCACTCCCTGTCCCAGTAAGATTTCAAGATAAAATAAGAATTTCTAACAATTCTTGGAGAAGGAAATGGCAACCCACTCCAGTATTCTTACCTGGAGAATTCCATGGACAGAGGAGCCTAGCTGGCTATAGTCCATGGGGTCACAAAGAATAGGACATGACTGAGCAACTAACACACAACTCTAATAAAATGTCCTTTCCATGTCTCCCTAAAGCACCAAATTCTCAATATTAGAGTCATCCTAATATTCTCAATTATTTATTTTTAATGTTTTTAATCATATGAGGCATGGTCTTAAATCTCCCTTTCAGAACAAAGTACAAAATAAATTTTTAGAAAGAAGTAAACAAATACATAAATCAATAATTGGGAGGATTTCCCACTCTTTCACCTAAAGATTTGATCCTTGTGAAACTATATCATTCTTTGGGAGAGAGAGATGGTGTTTTAAGTAGTGTTCATCATTTTCACTTTAGTATTAAACAAGTATTTGAGGCTTTCTTAAGAACAGATTTTGCTAGAAGATAAAAAGTGAGACTTTCTTCCTCTTTTCTTAGAGGCAGAGAAGCCAGAACATTCCTTGTTCTGATTTTGGCCCAAGAACAGGGATGCTCTGCCTTTAAGACTGAAATGACAAAATCTCTCTCTCAGAAGTAAAATATTGAGGTACACCCATCTTCTATTTCATGGAATGGAAATCATACTTATATCTCAAATTTAGAAGAAACTTCTCCCTCACACTCCTTTCTTATAATCAAAAGCAAATAATCAAGTTAACTTGTCCTATAGTCACATCACCTATAAGAATAAACTGTTAAAGCATTTTTGTCAAAGAGATTACAGAAAATCAGTCCCTTTATCTCATGAAGTGTTTCTGAATTTTCTGGTTCTTTAAGCTTTCCCCTCTCCTGTGTTAAAGTCAAAACATCGGATCAATAATACATGATGCTCAAGCCTTGCAATTTCAGACTCACGACTGATATAGAGCATGCAAAACAGCACACAATTGTGCTCTGTGGAAACTATGGCGTAATGCCCTGAAAAATAGCTTCAAGTCATAAAAATGCAGTGCACCGACCCCCCGGAAAGAATTGTGTCCACGGTCCCAGAATGATGTCTGTTGTCCAACACCCTCACTCCACGTCTGAGCCCTTTTGCTCCATGTGGTTTTTCCCTCAGGGATCATTATTGGGTTTCATAATGATTAGTTTGTGTATGAAAAAGGAAAGCTCAAGACTATAATTTTATACATACTTAAAAAAAAACATATAAAGAAAATTCAGTAGCGAGACAAGTAATCTCCTGGAGCCTGCTGTGAGCAGGAGTATACCTGTGAGAGTGACAAGCTGATAAATGAATGTCCCAACACCCAAGGGGACAAACCACAGAGGGGAAAGTGTTGTGTCCCCGCAGCTCAGGGCGCTCTGCTCTCCTGCTCCCCGCTTCAGACATAATGAGAGCACCCACTGGGAAGCAGACGGCAGCTGGTAAAGCAAATGAGTATTGGACCATCTGAGTCGGAAATTCAGTGATAAGGAGAGGGGGAGTGTTTCTTTTCATTTTGGCAGCCAGAAGATGAAAGAGATACTTATCAATAAAGACCCAAAGGAAGGATAGGTAGAGGCAAAGTGAGGCTGAAACAAGGCCCAGAGGTGACCGCATAGAGACTGAAGGAGGAGACAGGGCCACCCTGGAAGTCAGGCAGACGGGACACCTACCTGGTAAATGGGTCTTCAGCACCACACCTGCAAAGGCTCCTTTCTCTGCAGATCCCCAAGTCCTCTCGCCTGGAGAGGCAGCATAGCCTAGAGAAGAGAAAATCCTGGGTGGCCCCTCTCAGTCTGAGGCTGGGTTCCCAACCTCCAGGATCTAATGCCTGATGATCTGAGGTGGAGCTGATGGAATAACAGAATAAATAAAGAAATGCAATGTCCTTGAATCATCCCCAAACCATTCCCCTACTCCAGTCAGTGGAAAAATTGTCTTCCACAAAACTGGTCCCTGGTGCCAAAAAGGTTGATGATCACTGCTCTATGGGGCCTTGAACCAATCACTTAATAGTTCTGAACCTCAGTTTCCTCATCTGTGACGAGGGCTAGCAATAAGAGAATCAATCCAAGAAAACCCTGAGCAACAATCACTCAATAAACATTAGATTTTACTATATTCTTATCAACTGTCATATCAACATATAACTTTTCTTTAAAAAAAAAAAAGTGTTAAAAATGTGTCCCCATCCCCTTCAGCTCTACCTATGGTTTAATGAAAAGGAAAGTTAACTTGTTCATCCTCCCTTCCTCTAGTGGAATAAATTAAAGTGTTTCCTGCATTTTTATTTCTATTCATCTCTGTGTTCCTCCATATATAAAAGTAAATCCCTCAAAATGACAGAATCGAAATTAAGATCCATGTGTCTTTTAGGGTAGACAGACGAGAAGGGGAGCAGCTGGGCAGCTGTGATCCTCTTGGGACAGAAATTAAGAGATAGAAACTAAGGGGAGAGAAAGGGAAATAGCAGAAAAAACTGAATGTTGGTCTCTGGATTTTAACTGGGATACACATATTTGGCCTATAAAGACCAAGTTTTCTTGTTCAGTCATCTAACCCAGTGATTCTCAACTGAAGGCAGTAGTAAGCTAAGAGCAAGGAGGAATGAAACCGATGATATTTGCTAGACATGTGAACACCAAGGCTGAAAAATGCAAACTCAAGAATCAAGTTGTATGAGTCACAGAGGTGGCCTTATTGATTGAGAATGTCTATTGAAAGGGGCGTATATATAATTTTCACACACATTCCCTCAGTCAAAAGCTTTATTCCAACAAGCAGGCATCATCTCTAAACTGAACTAATGCAATAGCCTTCAAGCTGGTCTTCATTCCACTCTTAACTGACTGTGGTCCCTTCTCTACACAGAGCTGGAGTTACCTCTGTAAATACAAAAGTAAAAAAAAAACCCTGATACCGGGAAAGATGGAAGGCAGGAGGAGAAGGGGACAACAGAGGATGAGATGGTTAGATGGCATTGCCGACTCAACGGACATGAGTTTGAGCAGGCTCCGGGAGATGGTGAAGGACAGGCATGCTGTAGTCTTACATAAGATTGCAATGAGTCAGACACAAGTGGGCAACTGAACAACAAAACAACAACAGCATCACTGCCTCATTAGAATCTATCACGTTTAGAATATATTCAAACTCCTATCATGGCCTGTGGGATTCCACATTATCTAGCCCTTGTCTTCTTTTTTTTTTAACTTCCTTTTGTCCCATCCCCCCAAAGTTTTCATTACAATGGTACTACACTAACCTTTCAATTTCTTGTCTTACTCTGACCTCAGGACCTTTGAACTGGATATAGTCTCTGCTGGAAGCTTTTCCCTCACAACTGCTCAGGTCTTGGCTCAAATATCACCTCCTTTTCTAAACCATCTCATCTAAAGAAGAGTCCCCCAACAGTTCTCTGATCCATTTGATTTTCCTTATAACATTTGTCACTAGCTGAAATTCCTATATATTTACCCACAAGCTTATTATCTCTTTCCTTTTATCAGAACATAGCTTCCTGAGAGCAGGGGTCTTGTTTACCCAATACTTAGCCTTGTGCCTGGCATAAAGTTAGCTTCCACTAGGTTTCTGCTGAATATGTAAATGAACAATATTCAAATAGAGTCCAGATGCTAAGAGAAGGAAAATATGTTTATGAGAAACATTTCTAAGGCATTGAACAGCTGAAAAGATATTAGAAAAAATTTTCTCAAGGGTTAGACTTTCAAAAAAATTTGAGCAATGTTCATATATTCACTTGATTGATGGCATTCTGTCTAGTTTCTTATACCTGTAATTTAAGGCCTAGCCTCTTGTCAACAGTTGAAAGCCTTTTAGATCATCTATACAGAGAAGACTGGAATAGAAACTCAATAGGAAAAAAAAAAAAAACCCTCAAAAGAGATAACAGTTCAGATCAGACTACTCTAAAAACTAGTCAGAGGACCTTTGGGCTACTCTCCCAATCTGCCTTCAAAATGTTATTACTGAGACAGTCACTCAAGCTATAATAAAATGAAATACTCACAAAAAAAAGAAAAATTATTTCACAATAACAAAAGTCCCAATTAAAGTCCTCTTCTGCAAAAGTAAACATATATTTACTACTATTTTAAACTAATAGGTTATTTGAAATTGGAAAGAATGAATCACTAATCCCTATACATTAAAAATTTTGGCACAAATGTGTTATCTGTTTGACATTTTTACATATCCATATTTCATAATCAGGGATAACTCTCTTTCCTCATGTGAAGCTAATTCCTCTTTCAAGCTCAAATCAAACCATGTTTTAAAAACAGTTCAGTGCTTTTTTTTTGTGTTGATGTTCAGATGACCAGTTGTTTCAGATATAACTTCTAAATAACTAATAATAAAACATGATATCAAGTCAATATTCAAATGTTAATGCAATTAAAAAATGCTCTTTTTATGAATTTTGTAGAATCTTTCATCACAGATGCTTCAAGATGTTGGGAGTTCACTTCATATAATTGTTTTCCACAGCAGCAGGCAATTTAACTTACAGTCTCCTGGAGTACCTATTAAACATACAGATTCCTTAGTCCCATTCAGAGATTCTGTTTTTATGGATCTAAGCAGAGATCCAGAAATCTCTATTTGTTTAAAAGGCTTCCCAAGTTGTTACTAAGGCCTTCCAGGCTTCACAAACAGTGATTTTCATCCAACTTAGACCAGAACACTTTTATTCACATTTTTTAAAAATTTGAAGTATAGTTAATTTATAAGTGTTAGTTTCAAGTGTATAGCAAAATTATTCAGGTATATACATATAAAAGGCTTCCCAAGTTGTTACTAAGGCCTTCCAGGCTTCACAAACAGTGATTTTCATCCAACTTAGACCAGAACACTTTTATTCACATTTTTTAAATACATTCTTTTTCAGATTGATCTCCATTATAGGTTATTATAAGATACTATCTTATAATACCACTGTGCTACAGAGTAGGTCCTTGTTGTTTACCTATTTTATATATAGTAATGTGTATATGTTAATCCAAAACTCCTAATTTATCACATTTCTAACAAATTGTTACTCAGACGTGTTCTGAGCTCTTCCAGCGGAGATAATTCCATCTCCATGTAGTTTGTTAACATCTACTGGAAAGGTCTGATTGTCAGAAAAATTTTGTTTACTTTAAACTGGAATCAATCTGCCAATGGCTTCCTCCCACAGGTCTGCCCTCTGGCACAACAAGGGTTATTATATATAAAAGCTGCTCATGCATTTCAATGCAGTATTCGGGGACCCACAAGTTTTTCTTCTATAGCTGGAGAGCCGGTTTCCCAAACAACTGCTCACAGATCCTGCATCATCCAAGGTATCTCTGCACCCTAGTGCACCAACCACATTCCCTTTTCAGAGCCTCTCCTCCACCAGTCAGAAGTAGAGTCCCTAACCCAGCTATGAGCCTTTTGACCCTGTCCAGCAGTGGAGCAGCATGTTGGGAGATCATATGGAACTGTACACGCCCTACACTGTTGCCTCTCAAAGGCTGACATGCCGAATGATGCCACAAGCTGAAGGAAAATGGTGAAAGGAGAAAAACGGCCAAGTTCATTCCATCTAAAAGATTCTAGCACTTTCTTCCTATATCGTGATCTGCCCAGGTCCTTCTGAAATTTTTGTTTTAGATAAACTAGAAAGATACTAGTTTGCTTGGTTGTTTGGTTGGTTTTACTAGAAAGTTAGCCATCCTTTGTTGATGAATTCCATTTCTTGAAGAGCTGTAATGGTCCATAAAGATCAAACTCTAGGAACCACTGCCCTGGACTTGCCTCTTGTGCTGATGTACCACTGTTCTCTAATCCAGCTCATGCCTCTGGAACACCTATCCCCTAACAAGACATGGTGCCTCACAAATCATTAGATCATTAGAATCAATGGAATTTTATGAAAATACAGATCCCTTCCAGGGCCCTCCACCAGAAATTATAGTTCAGTAGGTGTGACGTGAGGCTTGGTATCTGCATTTTTAAAAACTCCCCAAAGATCCTGATGTTCATCCAGAATTAGAAAGCACTGAAAAAAACATACCTTTGGCTTTTTATCATAAATGATACACGTATATTCAGTGACTCTCTTCTATGTATTTATAGCTTAGTATCACAGGGAGTAGAGTTGATTAGGAAAGCAGGAGTCTGACCAAGTGTTAATACAGCCAAGCAGGTCTTGATACATGAATGCATAGTCAGCTTCCTCCCTTAGATATGGACATATCTGCAATTGGTATCCTTTCCTCCTCCTCTAGCCTTCTCTTAACAGACCAAGTGTTCTCTCTTCAGATTTAGACACACTTGCTCTATCTGTCCAATTCTACCCAATAAACTGACCTCAACACGCTTGGGTTTTATCAATATTCCTATTAAAGGATAATACTCAAACAAGACATAATATTAATACATCAGTCAGTCAGTTCAGTCGCTCAGTCGTGTCCAACTCTTTGCGACCCCATGAATCGCAGCACGCCAGGCCTCCCTGTCCATCAACAACTCCCGGAGTTTACTCAAACCCATGTCCATCAAGTCAGTGATGCCATTCAACCATCTCATCCTCTGTTGTCCCCTTCTCCTCCTGCCCCCAATCCCTCCCAGTATCAGGGTCTTTTCCAATGAGTCAAATCTTCGCATGAGGTGGCCAAAGTACTGGAGTTTCAGCTTCAGCATCAGTCCTTCCAATGAACACCCAGGACTGATCTCCTTTAGGATGGACTGGTTGGA